GAGAGGGCGGCGGCGGAGGTGTGGGGGAGGGGGAACCCCGGGGAGGGGTTGGGGAGGGAACTGGTTCGGGGAGGGGGTGCTGACAGAGGCTGGAGAGCGGATGTGAGCAGGATGGGGAGCGGAGGGGGTCTCCAATACGGCCCGTAGAGAACTGAGGGGTGGGGTCTCTCTCAAGATCACAGATGCCGGGGACTAGCTGCGCCACTTGGGGGACGGGACCCCCTTCTTTGCACCCCGGGACGGAGGGCCGAGCCCCCCAGACCCTGTTCGGGGCGGGGGGCCGGAGGAGCGCGGCCGGAGGTGGGAGGCGGAGGCGGCCGCTAGTGGGGACCCGGGGGGCGGCGGGCGCGGGCGGCAGCGGCGGCGGGGCTGGCGAAGGCTGTTGGCCCGAGCATCTTCTTCCCGGAGGCTCCCAAAGCGGCCTGGCCCCACCCACCCGCGAGAGGGCACGCCCATGCCGGTAGGACCACGCCCTTCCGCGGTCCCATTGGCCTGCCCTTGAAGCCTGGGCCACGCCCCTCTGGGTTGGTCACGCCCCATCCCTAGCCCGTAGAGCGGCTGGGCTCCCTAGACTGCCCTAGGGGCCCTGGGCTCCTCCATACCATTCCCATCCCTCACCTGTAATGAACGTTTATTGAGCACTTACTACGGTCCAGATAAACTAAGCTTCTTAAACATAATCACATTTAATCCCACAGAACAACCAACTCTGAGGCAATCTTATTATCATCCCCTTTTACAGATGAAGAAACTGAGCCTTAGTGAGTTGCCATCACTTGGTCAAAGTAAGTCCCGTTTCACGTATCTCCCACCCCTGACAGCTGGGAAGTTCCCCCTCAACTCTTTCATCGACTTCTTCAAGAATCAACACAAGGGTAGTACAAGGGCTCAGGGGATTGAGTTCAATGAACATCGGGGTTAAAGCAAGCGCTACCAAGCCTAGCACCCAGCTGGCACTCAAATCAATCAACAGCACTTATGAACCACTTACTAAGCGCCAGCATTGTCACAAATGCTGGGATACAACAGAACAAAACAGTTTTGGCCTTTGTAGAGTATTACTATTTATGTCATAGAGAAAATTTGATTTTCAGATGACAAAATGGAGGCCCAGGAAGGTGAAGTGTGGCTTGTCCAAGGGCACAGAGTTAGGCAGAGGGTCAACTGAGAGTTGAACACAAGACAAGCTTAACTTCGGAGCCTGAAGTCATTGGAAGTAGGGAGCCCTTTCTTGGAGTGGATCATTGCAAATATTCAATGTTCTTTGATACATGAACTTTCTTCTCCCTGGATTCCTGGTCCCCAAAGATTCTTTCCTTCCTGGGTCAGCCAGAAGCAAAGTTAGGCTCAAAGGGGGCTGGATGGGAGTAACTCTGGCAGCTGGGGTTGGGGGTCTCTTCCTCTGCTCCATCCTAGTCCTGGCCCTCTCTTGCCGAAGTCTCAGATCCCTGGATGGGGAGGGTAGCAGATGGCCTGGGGTGGATAAGGTGGCTGCCCATCTGTCCCCTCCCCCCCATTGTCCCCAGAACCAAAGGGGATTGAAGGGGGTTGTGGTCCAGTGCAGTCTGGATCCTCCCACTCCATCTTCCTGGAGGGAGCTGAGAAGCTGGTCGCCATGGAGACAGGGATGAGGGGAGAGGGATCCAGGAAGATACTGGGGTCAGGCCGAGATCCACACCTTTCAGGCCTTTTAATCACATACACTCACAGCACACAAGTACATATCCCAACATCCATGGAGTAGGGTGTGAAGCTCCCCCCACAACACACACACACAGTCACACAGGCCCTCCTGCAGACCCACAGGTGCACACTTTCAACAGTTTCATTCGGGTATACCCCCTATTACATATGGGGCGCAGGCAGACATGCACACAGACAGACAGACAGACAGACACACACACACACACACACACACACACACACACTCCCCCATAATGCATAATGAACACACATTTGGTCCTGCAGACCCAAAGCCACACCACAGGCTCTCTAGGACAAATAGATAGACACACACTGAACATCTAACATCTGAGTATGTCCCGGGTGCACATATTCAGAGTCAAAACAACTCCACACTTGGCCACACACACCCTGAGAAATTACAAGTACATGATCAAAGCCACAGGGCATAAGCAGCCTATGTTACATAAGGCATACATGTTAGTGACATGTGATATATAGACTGATAAACAGATTCAGTCATGTCTTCTACGAAAATGTAGAAGTGTGGGTGATCGCACACATTTAGACTCATGGCCCGGGTAGTCTACTGCGCAAAATGCATGGTACCTCACAGACCACTCAGTGATACACATGGCACACAGAGTCCCGTGTGCTGCTCAGCCCCCACCGAGTCATCCTGCAGCCCCAGCTGTACCCCCGACCAAGCACTCCCATTTGGACACACACAACAGCACGGGTGGTCACGCACTCACACTCACACACAAACACAAACCTCCTCCTAGATATTTTTAAACCCAGGCTAGTTTTGCTGCTATGGCAACCGCCCCAAACCCATTGCCATAGCAACTGAACGTCAGCTTTCCAAGCACCAAATCCTGGGGGACTGCAGAGCCCCAATCAGAGGCCAGTTGAGGGGGCAACTGCACCCTCTGACATCATCTGTGTCACCCCAGTACCCCTACCCCAGAGCATTTAGGGAAGGAGTTAGCCTAGGCTGGGCAGGGGCTGGAGCCAGGGATCCAAGACCACCGGACGGTGCTGGGGTAAGGGCAGCCCTCAACTTGCTTTTTCCTCCTGTTCCCTCAGAGCTTTATGGAGGGGCTCATGGGGCAAAGGTCAGCCTGCGTCTGGACACATACAAGCCTGGGTTCGAATCCTAGCTCTGCCATTTACGAGTTGTGAGACTTGGGCATGTCCTTACCCTCTCTGAGGCTTGGGCATGTCCTTACCCTCTCTGAGGCTCATGTCCCTTAATTCGGAAAATGTTACTGCTGTTGCCGTCAGTACTAATACCCCAAAGGATTATGTGACTCAGTGCTTAAAAGCCCAGGCACATTGCATCTACATTCTGACTCTCCCACTTTCTATCTGTATGAGCTCAGTCAAGGGCCTCCCCCTCTCTGTGACAAAGCTGGGGGGCAAATCGTAGTCTAATTACATAGGGCTGCTGGGACAATTCTCAGCAGAGGGGTATGGCCACTGATCTAAGAACTTTGCATGTATTTCAACTTATTTAATCTTAAGCATGGCCTCATGGGTAGCTACTGTTATTATTCCTATTATTTTGCAGAAAAGGAAATTGAGGCCCAGGGAGCTTGGTCTGGGATCTCACAGCTATAAAATTTTGAAATGTGGGGTTTGAACCCAGGCAGTCAAAGACATGTTCTTAGCCATTTCTCTCCCCTGCCTCTTAAACAGGGGGGTTTGGAGAAGTGTGATAGAATGGTGAGTTCTTGGAAATGCTGCCTAGTCTCAGTTTTCACGCCTGCAAATGGGGGTTCAAATAATACTGCCAGCTGTGGTGTTGGACGGCCTAGAAGGCAGGTTGTGCCTGGGGGCTCTGAGGACCGGTTGGCAGACCTGGGTGCTCTGTGGGGGTGGGCAGTAAAATAGGAGAGGCAGGGCAAGTGGGCAGGCTCAGGAGGGAGGTTGGCTGGGGCTCAAGCCCTGCTCTTCTCCTTTCCAGCCAGGTGACCTCAGGCATGAGCTATCTCCAGTTGGAGCCTCAGTAGCTCCGTCTGTCAGCAGGGAATCACAATGGTGCTTAAGATGTGCCAATCAGTTCAAGCCCCAAAGCAGGTAAAACTGCTTGGCCTGGGTCCCAGAGAAGAGGGAAGTCTGAGCAGATGCTAACATCATCCATCTAGTCTGTACATGGGATTTTGGAGAGGCAGGATTGTGTAGGGCAGGGTTTTGCAAACTTTTCTGACCCACAGTGAGAAAAAACTTATATCACGATTCAGTGCACATAACTGAAACCGAAGTTCCGTGAAACCTACTTCACCTATACCTTAGCCTATGTGCACCGACTGCGCTATATGCTCAGTTGCTGATCTACGTTTAGTCTATTGAAAAGCGTTGGTTGATTTTCACAGTCCGCTATCAGTCGAGACCAAGAGTATGAAGAATCCTGGTGTGGCGGTTACGAGGTGAAATCATTGGAGGATTTTAAGCACATGAGTCACTTGGGCATCAAAGGGGCAGTGAGGGGAAGGGACCAGACTGGGGGATGAGATAAAGCCAGGACAGACTCCAGGGAGGAGGGGTTCTTTGCCTGAACCCCGTCAGAGGCAGGGGAGATGGAGACAGATGATTGGAAGCCAAGGCATAAAGCAGTTTGCGCAGTGTATGGACACAGTGGATGGCGGTCCCAAGCATTGAACCTGAGGACAGATCCTAACTCATCCAACTGACAAAAATATTTACGGAGCACTGGCTGTGTGTTTGGGTGCTGTTCTAGGCACTGGAGATACAGCAGCAAACACCACAGACACAAAATCCTGACCTCATGAGCTCACATGCTAGGGCGCTGGACAATAAACTAGCAAAAGAGGTAAAACATATCCTAGGTTGGGTGATGATAAATGCCATGAAGAAAAATACATCAGAGAGGGGGAATGAGGGAGAGGGGGTACAGGGTAGTGGAGCAGGGGGACTGAAGTGTTTTTTTTTTAATGAAGTTTTAAATATAGTAGACAGGGAAGGTCCCACTGAGGTAACATTTGAGCAGAGATCTGAAGGAGGAGAGGGAGTGGGCCATGTGGGTCTCTGGGAGAAGAGTGGTCCAGGCAGAGGGAACAACAGGTGCAAAGGCCCTGAGGCAGGAGTGTACC